TCCCGCGTCCCGCGGCATTTCAAAAAAGTCCCGATTTTTCATTCTGCCTCCTCAGTCCCGCTGCCTCTTGAGCCCCAGCTGATGGCTAGAAGAAAAAAAAACTGTTTAAACTCTTGCCCGGGGCTTCAAAGGGCCGCCCTACAGGCAATCAATGTAAAGAGTTCCTGAAGCTAGCTAAGCTGCAGAAACGAAACCGAAACCAGGATCTTTGGTGCAACGTGACAAAATGAGGCAGAGAGATTTATTTTTATTTTTATTTTTCCTCCCCAAAAAAGGTAGGTGAAAAACTGCAAACAATGGGAAATTTAGGAGGAGAGTTCAAGATTTTAAAACACAAAAGAAAAAAAAGCTGTATTTAACTAGGGAATTGTAATAATTGAGATACTATTAATTGTATATTGTGTTGAAAGCAGAAATGGTTAAGTTGTGGTTCAGAGGAATATATGGGAGAAATTATTTGGTTTATTATTATTGGTAAATATAATTAATTGATTTGTAAGAAATTGGATTGCATGGAAATAATTGGAATATTCATGTTCATATTGATTAATATACAAAAAGATAGTTTTATAACTAATTGATTTATATTAAAATGTTGAATTTGTATTAAACAACTGTATTACATAATTACATAATTAAACAATGTGAGGATGGATATAAAAATAGATGACAATGGGAAGGGGTATAATATAGAATAGAAGGGAAAAAGTGAATTTGATTAAGATTAGAGATGAGGATGAAGGGTAATATTGTTTTTTAAAAAAAATAGATGAATAAATACGGCAAAAAGGAAATATAGAAATTGTAAATTTATTTGAAATGACTAAACACTGTTTAAATTTGTGAACCAGCCAAATATTCTGTTCAAAGAAAATACATTGTATGTTTGTATATGTGTTTCTAATTATTGCTATTTATTCATATTTGTTCTTTTATTCTTTAAAGTTTAACAATTCATTCTTTATCTTAATATCTTTATATTTGCTTGGGGTTGGCTTTCTTCCCTTTCATCTTTTTTATTGTACAGCAATCTTTCTCCTCAAACCTACCACCTCTCTCTTTTCTTTCCTTCTTACTTTCTCTTCCCCCCACCCTCTTTTTCTCCTCCCTACTTCCTCTTCCTTTCTCCTTCTCCTCCCCTCTTCCTCCCTCTCTTACCCTCACTCCTACTCTAATTTCCATTCCTTCATCCCTCTCTATTGCTGTATCCTTTAATGCATATGGACTACTCAGAGGGCTGAAAAAGTTATTTTTGACTGGTCCTCACACTTTTGACCAGTCCTCGAACTTACGACTGTCCTCACATTTTACGTTTTTGCCCTATCTTGTCATCATGGTGAAGAGAAGCAGTTGTGAAATGAGTGACATGGTTGTTAAGAATGCTGCATGGGCATAAATGTGAGGATGGTCATAAGTGTGAGGACCAGTCAAAAGTGCGAGGACCTGTCAGAAATGACTTTTTTCAGCCCTCTGGTTAGTCCTTTTGTGCATATGGACTACTCGGAGGGCTGAAAAAGTTATTTTTGACTGGTCCTCGCACTTTTGACCAGTCCTCGAACTTATGACTGTCCTCACATTTTACGTTTTTGCCCTATCTTGTCACCATGGTGAAGAGAAGCAGTTGTGAAATGAGTGACATGGTTGTTAAGAATGCTGCATGGGCATAAATGTGAGGATGGTCATAAGTGTGAGGACCAGTCAAAAGTGTGAGGACCTGTCAGAAATGACTTTTCAGCCCTCTGAGTAGTCCCTATACACATAGCCATGGCCACCCAGTCACATGACCAGCTAGCCACGCCCGCCCAATCACATGGCCTCCAAGCCACGCCCACGCAATAAGTCACGCCCACAATGGTGTCCTTCTTACCAATGTTAAAATCTGTTCACCTTACCCTATACACATAGCCATGGCCACCCGGTCACATGACCAGCTAGCCACGCCCACCCAGTCACATGACCAGCTAGCCACGCCCACCCAGTCACATGACCAGCTAGCCACGCCCACAAAATAAGCCACGCCCACAATGTCCCTCTTTACCAATGTTAAAATCTGGTCACCTTAACCTAGAAGGCCCTATATGGCTTAGGCCCGGGATATTTGGAGGACCATCTGCAGCCAGCAACAACTGTCCATCACCCAGTGTGTTCCCAAAGAGAGGGCCTCCTCAGGGTGCCATCGGCCAGACAGTGTCAGCTGGCGACCCCCAAAGGGAAAGCTTTCTCTGTGGGTGCACCTACCTTTTGGAATCAACTGCCCCTGGAGCTCCGGGTGGCCCCCGACCTCTGCTCTTTCCATCACGACCTGAAAACGTGGCTGTTTCGTTTGGCTGGCCTGGACTGATGGGGTTTTAATTTTTAACTTGTTAGTCTTAATTGCACTTTTAACTGTTAAATTATGAGATTTGGATTTAATTTTTTAAAAACTTTTTCATTAGATGTTTTTTACTGCTGTGAGCCACCCTGAGTCCAGCTGGAGATAGGGCGGCATGTAAATCCCATTAAATCAATCAATCAATCAATCAATCTCTTTTTATATTCTTGTTACAGAGTACTTTCTTTACATATTTAAGACTAAGCATAATTCTTCTGGAAATCCTAAAATAAAATTCTACAAGATTCTTTAAATAGAATAGAATAGAATAGAATAGAATAGAATAGAATAGAATAGAATAGAATAGCTATTCTATTCTATTCTAACTAACTATAGAATAGAATAGAATTAGCTGATTCATTTGTTAATGAATTTAATATTTTAATCATTAAGTCAATAATCAATCTTTTGCAGGGATCAAATGGTTTTGATGTTGTGCTGTATCCTGACCTTCACCTTCACAAAGATAAAAATTATTGACTTAGAAATCAGTCTTTATTCCACCAAAATCTATTTATTCCACACTATGGAACTTCAAAAGTGGTAGTTATATCTGGACCAAATAGGCCAAATAGTAAATTATTGAGTTGACTGAAATTCCAAGATACAATCAAAAGTAAATCAAAACATTTAAATTCTGCAAAATGTTTTTTAAGACAGACTTTAGAGCTAAGCAATTTAAAGAGGTCCACTTTATCCAAAGGATAATTTGTCACCTCTTTTAAATTGGAAATAACTCATCTCATAATATAAGCTTTTCATAAGCCAATTGTTTACACTAAAAGTTGATCATTAGTAGAAATGACCTATCATATGTAGTTCACCCAGTTCAGAATGCTTGGTGTTCCACACAGATAAAATATTAAACCTTTGGAAGGATACAATAATATTTTTCTCCCTATGGTTACCCCCAATTTATGAAAGAACCTCATCCTTTATATCTACTTGAAATTTATCCCATTAAGGCTACTAACATAATTTTTTTTCCTTTGGGCCTTCCAAAGTTTGAATTGAACATTCAATTCAATTCACACTCCTACACATATGTGTAACATTTATTATTATTTACATTGCAAAGCAGATTTCATGTTATTTGTTTGTTTGTTTGTTTGTTTTTACCCCATCTTTATTATTTTTATGAATAACTTAAGATGGCAAACATACAGAATACTTCTTTTTCTTCCTAGTTAGTCTATACTAATAAAAATATAAACTACATAATATATAATACTTCCTTTTACAACTTTCAGCATTAAATACAAGTTTTCTTTTCAGATTCAGAATGACAAATAGATCGTGAAGGGAAATCACAAATAGGAAGCTTGTACTTAATGTAGAATTTTTAGCACTGAATATTCTATCTCAGGATATGCAGGCAATCTATAAGTATGTTAAATTTATTTGTAATGAAGCACTTTTCCTCATCTAAATATTGTACACATTCAGTGGTGGATTTCAGATTTTTTTGCTACCAGTTCTGTGGGTATGGCTTGGTGGGCATGGCATGGCTTGATGGGTATGGCAGAGGAAGGATATTGTAAAATCTCCAGTCTCACTCTAGGGGAAGGATACTGTAAAATCTTCATTCCCACCCCAATCCAGGGGAAGATTACTGCAAAATCCCCATTTCCTCCTGATCAGCTGGGCTTGGGAGGCAGAGAATAGATGGGGGCAGGGTTCTCTGAACTACTGCTACCAGGTCTCCAGAACTGGTCAGAAGCTGCTGAAACCCACCTCTGTGCACATCTGCATATTATACGTTTTACCATTCAATGTATTGATAATTTTAAGGCAGTTATCTGTGCAAAAGATTTGGAGGGATGTCTGCCAGTGCTGTTCTCTCATTAAACTGTGTAACTTCAGATTACTGGAGGGCATTCTGAAATACTGCTTTCCCAAGATTTGTTGAAGTGAATATTTAATCCACAAAAGGTATATTACATATGGGTAATGTGTTTGTCTTAATATAGAGCCTATGTATTTCAGCTGCCAGTTATTTGTAAGAAAACTTTCAGTGTCTGTGGAAGAAAAGGGAGTATTTCAAATAAAAAATTTACAAGCAAGTCAAAGAAACTGCCTGCTTACAAAGGTCTTTAATTCTCTGTTTAATTTTGTCCTGAGTTCCATCCTGGCCCAGTATACTTAGAACTTGGTGGTTTAGTGCTCATTAAGCCTGGTCAGGTGAAATTTATTCCTTCCATGGAGAAGTGTAACAATCTAGGAGAAAAACTTAGCCAGAGTTACCTTTCCAAAGACATGCTTAAATCATCACAAAATCAGCAGACTCTGACCAGAGGCACAGACACACCACTGAGAAATTTTCAACAATAAAATTATCTATCTATCTATCTATCTATCTATCTATCTATCTATCTATCTATCTATCTATCTATCTAATTTAGAAACCACCCAACTGCCTCACAGAGCGAGACAGACAGCTTCTGGCAATAAACCAGACATCGTGGTAGTAGACAAAGATCAAAAGAAACCAAGATTCAATTGTATCTATTCACCTGCACCAAACAACAAGATTTGGGTAAAAATTCCAATGTGTTTCATTTATTTTTCTGCTCAATAACAACAGATTGATTAACATGTTTAACAACAAAATGGCTTAGATTTTATATAATCAGGTTTTGTAGCCCATTAGCTTTTTGATAGCTACCTTCACTTCCCTGTTTTTCAAGCTGTAGATAAGGGGGTTTATCATGGGTGTTGAAATGCCGTATTGAATGGAGAAGAGTTCATCCACAATAATTGAAGAGGCTGAACTAGGCCTCATATACCTAAAACATCCAGTGCTATAATATAAAGCCACAACAATAAGGTGAGCACTACAGGTAGAGAAAGTTTTTCTTTTTGCTTCTGCGGAGTTCAGCTTCAGGATAGTTGAGATGATATAGATGTATGAAAGTACAATAATAATTAATGAACTACCTGCAAAGGCACTTCCTGTTATGAAGAATGTCAGTTTATTTAGAAAAGTTTCTGAGCAGGAAAGTGCAAGAAGATTTGGAAACTCGCAACTGAAATGTCTGATAATATTTGGTCCACAGAAACTTAACCTCAAAATAGGTAAAACATTTATTGTGGAACATAAGAAACTAACTGCCCATGCACCACCCACCAGCAATCTACAAAATGCTTTGTTCATAATTTGCACATAATGGAGGGGTTTGCAAATGGCAGCATATCGGTCATAAGCCATGGCTGCAAGAATGTAATGTTCAGTGGTCCCCGTTAGAAAGACAAAGAACATTTGACTAAAGCAAGCTGAATATGAAATGGTTTGGCCTGCATAGAACATGACTAGCAACTTTGGAACAGTAACAGAAGAAAAACAAATATCAAGGAAAGCCAGGTGTGCTAGAAAAAAATACATGGGGCTTTGAAGATGAGTTGTAACCACCACAATCATCATATTTCCCATCAAAGTTATGACATATATAAGGAAAAATACTAGGAAGAGGAAAATATTTTCATACAGGTTGAATGAAAATCCCAAAAGAATAAAGGAAGTCACTGTGGTACTCTGATTTTCCATTTCCAGGCTGTGTAGGAACTTCAAAAGAGAGAAAAAGAAAGATCAAATAAACAAAATTATATTTATAAGGATATCAAATTTGGCTGATGGTCTTTTTTAAGAAAAAGAAATTAATGCAAAAAAACCCAAAAATGAAACTATGTTTCAGTTAAAGACAATGCTAACAAATTTGAAATTTGAAATATCATCAGAATTTAGGCATCTTTTTCTTAAATCAATAAGAGCCAATATGGTTTATTGATTAAGCCACCAGTGTAGAAAACAGGAAACTGTGAGTTCCAGTCCTACCTTAGGCATGAAATATGGCTGGATTATTTTAAACCAGTCTCTCTCAGCCCACAAAATTAGTCCTGAGTGACAATTCTGAGCTGTTTGGTCAATTCTTGTCACAACAAATGGATCATCTGTAGGTTGATCTGAACTTGCAGAAAACACTAAGAAAGAAAACAAAATAAAAATAATTTAAGGACAAATATACATACATAAAGATGAGAATTAAATCTACCATTATTCCAATTTTTCAATTTTAGATCTATTAGAAGATAATCATTTAACAAAATTAAGCCTTACTATAAAGTAATAAAAAAGAATATAGAGAAAATAAGGGGGAGGGAGGTCTTGAATGTTTGAAAATCAATTTGAAGACTAGATTTCATTAGCTAGTCAATACTATGACAGAGATTTGGCATACCTATCAAAATATACATGTCTTAATTTCCTCAACCAGTTTCCCAATCTTCTAGAAAGAGTTCCCACCTTTTCAAGTAGCACATTGAATAAAATTAAGAAAAGTTTCACATTAAACAGATAATGCAATTTAATTTTAATACATTTCAAAGACTCAATTTTCCCAACACAATTTTACATATTTTGTTTGGAATACCTCACTCTAGGATCAAAATTGAAAAGATTTTTTTCAGAGGAGAGGAGAGAAGAAAAACCTTTTTTGTTTTCTTATGAAATTTACTCCTTACTCCCTTGTTTTTCATTTTATAGAAAGCAGCGTAGAATAAATTCTAACTGATGCTTTCTACAGATTTGTAGTTTTGAATTGGTGTACATGTTTTTAGTTGTGAAAAACCTATAGATGAACAATTTATATATTGATATGTATTTAGTATCTATGTTATTTTTATTACTTCCTTTGGGATATGATGTTAAATCCAATCATACATATCTTTTCAGGAGACAGATACCATCCATGTGCAGGAGTTACATTTGAAATTTATCTTCTCCCCTTTTCTGTTTCTTGTCATCCAAGGTGTAGAGTTTTAAAGTTGAAAATTTCCTAATTAGTCTCTTGAGTTTATTAATTACTACATGAGAAATAAGAACATTTACATTGTTGAAATAATGATGGTTTGTTTGTTTAGACTCCATAAAGTCTGGCCTTAATTTCTTCTTTATTTATTGTTTTTCACTGAGAATTTGAAGGCTATCTTTCTTTTCAATAGCTTCATGAATAGATTGAAGGAAAATTATTCCCATTATTTGTGCTGCACATATCTGTACCATGACTCAGGCTCTATCAAAGCAAACCATCCACTTTTATGATGTTTTATTTTATGTATTTGGTTATGCATCTAATTCCACATTAAGATATGAATGCAGATAAATTTCTTTGGAATTCCCTCTGTTAGTATCTCAGTTAAAACACTGCATCAATTTTCTTTCTTTGGTAGTATTCTTGTCTCCCAACAGTGTTATGTTAATGGGGAAGACATGTACTACACTAGATTCAGATTATTATTTTCTCACAATTTCATCTCTTTCAGTTTAGAGAAAGGTAGGAAGAAACTAAACAATGGGTTTTTTAATAGTGATTTAAGCAGGATTTAATCAAAACTTTAATCAAAACTTTTTGGGTATGCAATGCATCTGAAAAGAAGGCCATTCTCTAATGATAATATTTTAGAAAAGATCTTTTACCCAATACAGAGAAGATTTATCTTCAACCTTCAACAAAGATATGGTCTTGCAATCTTCCATTTTAGAGAGAAAAGTTCATGTTTTAACCATAAACATACTAAAATCACCATCATAATTATCATTATAGTCACAATTATCACTATCACCACTACAGTCTGCATCATCACCACACAAGGAACAACATAATGAATAACCATTTTATTCTGAAAATATTTTCTTTTTATTTGGTTTAACATGGAAAATCAACATTTTGTACCCTATTATTTTTTTGACAGTTACATTCATCCCCCTGCTACTTCAATTTTCAAAACCATGGATTTAGCATAGAAGTTCAGATACTATATTGCATAGATAATATTCATCCACAGTGATTAAAGAAGCTGAGGTGTACCTAGACATGTAAAGTAGGCAGTATTGCATAACAAAAACACAATAAATGATGAAAAATAAGAGAAGTTTCCTTGTTTTCCTTTGAGGTTATTTTGAGATACTATACATTATAAGGCTTTGTACAAAGAGTTAACAAATAATGTAAAAAAAAGACCATAGGACTGTTTAAGCATTAATGGAAATTGGCAATCTGTTCAGGATAACTTTTATGCAAGATAAGGCAAGAATAAATGAAAATTTAGAAATATTTTATATTTAATCCACAGAAAATTAGATTTATAATGGGTAATACACTGACCAAGCTAATGCAAAATTAATAAGATATAGGGAACCATATACAGGTGAAACTCAAAAAAGTTCATTTATTTCAGTAATGCAACTTAAAAGGTAAAACTAATATATAAGATAGTCTCATTATCTTATATATTATAAAGCTCATCTGCGGAAGGAAGCATGAAGTGTTCAAAAATCTCCTGGTAGACATCTGCATTGACCCTGGACTTAATGAAGCACAGTGGACCAACACCAGCAGATGACATGGCTCCCCAAATCAACACAGACTGTGGAAACTTCACACTGGACTTCAAGCATCTTGCAGTGTGTGCCTCTCCATTCTTCCTCCAGACTCTGGGTCCTTGGTTTCCAAATGAGATGCACAAATTGCTCTCATCAGAAAAGAGGACTTTGGACCATTGAGCAACAGACCAGTTCTTTTTTTCTTTAGCCCAGGTAAGATGCTTCTGATGTTGTTTGTTGTTCAGGAGCGGCTTGACAAGAGGAATATGACATTTGAAGCCCATGTCCAGGATCCATCTGTGTGTGGTGGCTCTTGATGCACTGACTCCAGCCTCCTTGTGACAGTTCCCAACATTTTTGAATGGCCTTTTCCTGACAATCCTCTCCAGGCTGCAGTCATCCCTGCTGCTTGTGCATCTTTTTCTTCCACACTTTTCCCTTCCACATAACTTTCTATTAATGTGCTTTGATACAGCACTTTGGGAACATCCAACGTCTTTTGCAATTACCCTTTTGAGGCTTTCCCTCCTTATGGAGGGTGTCAATGATGGTTTTCTACACAACTGTCAGGTCAGCAGTCTTTCCCATGATTGTGATTCCTACTGAACCAGACTGACAGACCATTTAAAGGCTCAGGAACCCTTTGCAGGTGTTATGGCTTACTTAGCTGATTAGAGTGGGACACTTTGAGCCTAGAATATTGAACCTTTTCACAATATTCTAATTTTCTGAGATTGTGAATTTGGGGTTTTCATGACCTGTAAGCAATAATCATCAAAAGTATGAGAAATCAAGGCTTGAACTATCTCCCTTTGCATGCAATGAGTCTATCACATATATTAGTTTCACCTTTAAGTTGCATTACTAAAATAAATGAACTTTTGCACGATATTCTAATTTTTCGAGTTTCACCTGCATAATCACTTATAAATCAATACTGCAAGAACGTTGCCTTAATTTATAACAGCATTAAAAATAGTAGGGCAAAATAGGTAGTATATGTTTATCTCCAGAGGTTTAGGTGTAGAAGCAATAGATAGCAAGAAGAACTATCTATATGAAACATACATAGGACAATTGTGAGAATGATCTTCCATAAAACAAGAATAATTCCCCATGTTGTTATAATATTGATAAGTCAGAAATCTTTAAAAATATTTATTTATTTTAATATAGGAGAGAGAAAGAGTAAAACAAACTCATTTTTCTTAGGAAATCTACAAAGCATATTTCTCTTATTCCACTTTGCTAACAGCCAACATTTTAGTTAAAGATTAACTGGAATTTTCTGTAGATTAATTTTCAGTGTAATGTTTAGTGTTTCTTGCAAAGACTCTCTTGGTGCTCATTTAAACTATGAGGTGATTTTTTTGCATTTCAGATAGCTAATTGCTTTCTTTGGAAAATGATGTAAAGCCTAATGATCTACTTTATGAAACATATTTTTTCAAGATTAACTTTTCTTGTACTCATTAAAATCTATATTGTCAAAGAAATAGACACTTGTAATCCCTTATTGACACATTATTATTAAGTATAGGTTCATTAAAATATTGTTTCAACAATCTTTATGGTGACAAAAGACTAATCAAGAGTTCAGAACTCATCATCCATTGTTCCCAGAAAGAGATAATAGATGAAGGGGGGATTTTGAGCTAACTAATATACAGACCTGAAATCAGTTTCTTATTAATACTCCTCCTGATGGTTAATTATTTTTCTAGCTATGTGAAAGCTGCTACATCTCTCTTTAAAAAAAAAAGAAAAAAAACAATCATTATCTATAAGCAAGTAATTTTGAATGCAAAAAGTTTTCAATTCGTATCACACCTAGTTATACTGTCATGTATAATAGCTAGTGGTGAAAATTATCTCTAATAGCAATTCTGTATAACTGATGTAAGTATATACTGCATATGGGCAATATTAGATTGATGGCATCAATATTTTTCTGGAGAGATTTTAGCTAATGTTATCAATAAATGAACCATTATATGGTCCATAGCATATAACTTAATAACTTAAAAATAAAAATCATATATATATATATATATATATATATATATATATATATATATATACAGTATATGTAGACACCTATATAATTTATGCTGCTAAAGATAATATTTACCCAGTTTGTGACAAATAGGGACTGATTTTCGTAATTCAAAATATCCTGGAAATTGCATTTCAGACAAATTGAAAGATGCATGTTCTGTATACAGTGATTCTAAGTCCACTGGACTTCCTCTGTTGGAAAGAAAGTTCCATTTGCATGAGGTTCCTGTTCTAGCTTACTTAATTGCTGCACTTAATCTATTAAAAGACATGGGCAAATAATGTCCTAATTGTATACAAAACTCCTATGTTTTCATAAATTAGTTTTCTGGAGTTGTAGATACTCTTAGTAGACACTCAGATTCCCAAAGAGATTTCAGTGGAACTTGCAATATTTATAACATTACTTTTATTTTAAGGGAATGAACAATAGTTGCATTAGTTCTACATGTTCTCTGGAGCACTACCTTTAATTATTACTGAATATGAAGAAAGGATATTTATTGAAGAACTCTTGATATCTTGAGATCTCCAGCTGTCTTCCGTCAATATTCAGCATGGTTTTACTTCTTTAACAACTTTTTTTTAATAGAAATAACTTGGAAATAATTATTCAGCTGAAATTACAGTTCTTTTACTTGAGTAAAACTCAAGACAGGTAAGACAGGTTGAAATACAATATAATAGTATCTAGGAGAAACAGGTTTACAGTAATGTATGCTTGAAATATAGTTTGGCACTAGAACAGAAACCAGAAGACATGAGCCTTAGAGATGAGACTTGTTGCCTTAGTTGCAAAGCTAAGGGTTCTCAGTCATAGGAAGAAGGAAATACCAAACTACTTCTGAAATATGCAAGAAAATTGTATGGACTTGTCAATGGAGTTCTAAGGCCATGCTTAACCCTTAACAAATTACATGATTGTAATTGATAGGGCAAATAAATGATAACATGTTTAGCATAGCAATAGCACTTAGACTTATATAACATTTTTCAGTGCTTTACAGCACTTTTTAAGCAGTTTACAGAGTCAGAATATTGCCTTCAACACTGGGTCCTCATTTTATTGACCTCAGAGGACCTCGGGGCTGAGTCAACCTTTAGTCAGTCAAGATCAAACTGCTGGCAATTGGAAGAGTTAGCCTGCAATACTGCATTCGAACCACTGTGCCACCATGGCTCTTGGTCTTACTGATTTTAGATCTTACTGATCAATCACTCAGTCAAGGCTATTTGAATCCTATCCATTGAAGATTCCTTACCTTTCCCCTTTTTTTCACTTTTCAATGATTTTTTTTAATTGATTTTGATATCAAAGTGAAATTTGAACACTGGACTATTGTTAGGAATGAAACAGTGGTATGCAAGCAAGAATTACATAGATTGTTATTCCTTAGTACTTTCATTGAAGCCATCTGTAGTTACTTAGATAAAAACACACTGAACAACTATGTCAAATGAAAAGTATTCAGTATAATAATACATAAGTCACTACTAGAAGAAAAGAAGACATCCACTTGAAATATTGCCTTGATATTGAATTCAGTGGGTGCTTTTGCAATTGTAAATCATCTAGCTTCATGTGCCATCCATAATCAGGTCAAATCTCCCAGCATTAAATAAAATCCTACTGAGATGAGATGAAGTTGTAACATTGTCTCTGCTTGAAAGCTAAATGATGCAAAGATAGTAATTTTGATAATCAGGATTATATTGATAATCACAATAAAATTTGATATGAATTCATATATTTTCCTCTTCAATTTTGTATCTCTCCCTACTTCCTACCAATGGTGGAAAATCTTATTTCACATTTCTATCTAACTCCTTCAACTGCAAGGGAAGATTGATATCTCTAAGGTGAGTAGTTATAAAATAAATAATTGGATTTAAACAATTAAACAGGGTGCGTAGTACAGTGGTCTACGCACCCTGTTATTAACACAGCTGCCTGCAATTTACTGCTGGTTCGAATCTCTCCAAGGCTCAAGGTTGACTCAGCCTTCCATCCTTTCTAAGGTAGGTGAAATGAGGACCCAGTTTGTGGGGGCAATAAGCTGACTTTGTATGAATATACAAAAGTATGAAGGCTATTGCTTAACGCATTGTAAGCCGCCCTGAGTCTCCGGAGAAGGGCGGCATATAAATCAAATTAAAAAAAAAATGAGGATATTATATTTTTTTGGAGAGGATCTGAATCAAAATTCTTATTCTTGTTTAAATGTAATATTCTCTCTCCCATTATTATACTATTAGGTTTATAAAATCAAATACTATTACACACACATGCACACAAACACAAGCACCAATACACACATGCACAGACACACAAGTTTTAAGCAGCAAGTATTTATCTACAAGTATTTCATAAATCCTTCCTAACATAAACAAATTTTATGTTAGGAATTTATGTACATAAAATCTAAATTTTATGTTTAATTTAGATTTTAGATTTTCTGGTTTAAAAAATGATTATAAGCTTCAATTAAGCATGTTACACTGAATCTTCTTTTTGAGATACAAATGAGAAAATATAATTTATTAATGTAAATATATTAATGAACACACACATACAAATAGAAATATTTGTATGCTTCCTTTTACAACAACAATGAAACTGATGAAACCTGTGAAGGATCTTAATTCTAGTAAATTCCCCAAAAATCATCTAGATTTTTATCTCTTAGTTTCAATCATTATAGTTTTTTCCAAGCTGGAAAATCTCCTTCAAGTATAGCATTTGCTTTCATTAGAATATTCTGTTGCAGTCAACAAATGACATCTCATTCTTGTCACTATTACATTACATGCCTGATTAAACTGGGTTATTATAGGATAGCAAAGCTTCTGATTATGTAATATTTAAATTGATAAATAATTTTACAGACAAATGAGATAAGGGCTGCTGATGAGAAAGAAATGTCTGCTATGTGGCAAATTGCATTTTATACATGTATAAAGTATATAATGCATAAAAATGTAATTTTTTATTTTATTCTACAAATTATTGTAGACATTAAACCAGGGATCCAGGCACGACAAAACAGTAGCACATAGGTAAAGGAAGAATCACAATTCTTCATTTTTAAGAGATGCTTGAAAAAAGAGAAATTCTTTAGAATTTATGACTCAGAAGATAATTTAATCTAGCTCCATAGTCACATCTGAATTTTAGAGTTGAATTATATAGATTGTAGAACTGCATAATTGATCATTTGTAAAATGACAAAAGAATAGATGACAGAATTCAATGCTCAAATTTTAGCTATAATTCCATTTATAGAAATGAGAAAATAATTTTGTCCTCATCTTGAAACACCTTAAAATATTTAAAAAATGTTCTTCAAGATTAGAAGACTCATGAATTCTGTTAGGTAGTCCATAGGAAAAAAAGTAATTCAAAGTTCTACTATGTAAGCGGGCATCTGATCACCAGTAACAATAACAATGATTATAACGATAATAAATGTATTTTCTCTCTCTTAAAAAAAGTGGTTTTATACTTTATTCCTCATTTCGGCTGTTCACTTGTTTTTCCTCTCCTCTATAAGATTTCAGCAATCTTTTGAAAGTAAATGATTGTGTTTAAAGTATAAGCATTCACAAAGTGACCAAAATTTAATAACAGAGATATTGACATAGTTGCATTTTAATTGGTTGTTGTTATATTGTCTTATCTTGCTTTGATAGTTTTCTTTTTCTTCTGCCTTTTCTTCTATAGGTCAAAAATATGATCATTAGCAATAAAACCATAGTAACTCATTTCAACATTTTGGGCTTTCCTAGTCTGAAGAACCTTCAGTGTCTCCTCTTCTTCATTGGCTTGCTCATTTATGTCTTGACTTTGAGTGGACACCTCATCATTATCAGCATAGTATACATTGACCGACATCTCCATACCCCCATGTATTTTTTCCTCAGCAGCTTCTCCTTCTTAGAAATATGGTACACATCCAATATTATCCCCCAAATGCTAGAAGTATTCCTAATAGAAAACAAATACATCACATATGCTAGCTGTATTGCCCAACTCTACTTTTTCATTTCATTTGGCACAGCTGAATGTTTTATTTTGGCAATCATGGCATTTGATCGCTATTTAGCCATATGTAATCCTCTACGGTATCAAAATCTCATGAATAACAAACTTTGTCATCAATTGGCTGCGTGTTCTTGGATCGGTGCCTTCTTAATTAATATTCCTCCATTGGTGGCTCTCTGTAGGCTGTCATTTTGTGGACCAAATGAGATCAACCATTTCTTCTGTGATGCTTCACCTTTACTGAAACTATCTTGTGTAAATCCAGATGAAGCTGAATTGTGCAACTTCATTGTGGCTACTAGTGTCATTGTTAGTTCATTTTCCCTAATTTTGGTCTCTTACATCCTCATAATTGTCAGTGTGCTGAAAATCCCCTCCACTACAGGCCGGCAAAAGGCTTTTTCTACTTGTGGCTCTCATCTGGCTGTTGTTACTATTTTTTATGGCACACTGATGTTCATGTATGTCCGTCCAACCTCAAAAACATCCAACAGTTCAGTGATCTTTAACAAGATAGTATCTGTGTTTTACACAGTGGTCACTCCCATGCTAAATCCTATTATTTACTGCCTGAGAAACAAAGAAGTCAAAGATGCCTTAAAGAGAGCTATTAATAGGAAACATGGACTTACAATGAAACCAAGCTGTATTAGAAAAGGATTAATTAATTAATTGCCCTAGTTACCTCCCGTATGGACTACTGTAATGCTCTCTACATGGGGCTCCCCTTGAAAAGCACCCAGAGGCTCCAACTGGTCCAGAATGTAGCCGTGCGGGTGATTATGGGCGCAGCTCGTTACGACCATGTAACACCTCTCCTATGCGAGCTGCACTAGCTCCTGTGGTCTTCCGGGTGCGATTCAAGGTGTTAGTTATCACCTTTAAAGTGCTCCATGGCTTAGGACCTGGGTACCTACGAGACCGTCTTTTGCCACCAATAGCCTCCCACCGACCAGTTCGTTCTCACAGGGAGGGACTACTCAGAGTACTGTCAGTCAAATTATGCCGACTGGCGACTCCCAGGGGGAAGGCCTTCTCTGTGAGGGCTCCAACCCTTTGGAATGAACTGCCCCCGGAGATAAGGAATATCCCTGATCTCCGTGCTTTCCGTCGTGCCCTCAAGACTCTGATGTTTCAACAGGCGGGGCTAAACATATGAACATGTGAATGATTTTTTTTTTAATTTTATCTAATTCTGGGTTTTATTTAATTGACCAAACTAAGTAATAATTTTAATTAGCAATTTTATGATGTTTGTGTGTCTATATTTTTCTTGACTGTACACCGCCTTGAGTCCTATGGGAGAAAGGCAGTATAGAAATATAATAAATAAATAAATAAATAAATAAATAAATAAATAAATAAATAAATAAGTACCGTCTCCTCAAACAATCTATTTTCTACTTGTATTGGATTATAAAACTGCAAATTCCAAGCTACATTGGATCCAAATAATTGGTTGGAATTACTATATAATCAATTTTTTTTAGTTCATGTAAAATTCTTATTCTTATTAAATAATAGCATTGTGCAAAGATCACTTAATTCAGTAAGTTGAATGATTCTCCTATCCAATATTATCTGACACTAGGGAAAAGGGTTCATCTCCATTTCTTAGCCAAGGGAGACATCATTGTCTGAAGACATTTCTGCAATCATGTGACCAGCAATACATCACACTGCCATGCAGAGCATGTGGAAAAATACAGAACACTGTTACCTTTTCACTGAAGTGGAACTTATTTATCTACTCACATTTTACCTTCTTTCAAACTGCTAGGTGTCTTCCACTGGTTTCAAATCAGGTGATATGGCACAACTTTGAATAGCAAGGTTTGAGATGTGCTATAAAAACAGCAAAGCAAATACAGAATTTTTTTCAAGGTCCTATAGATCCAAGACATAAGTGACAAGGTATCTGGGTTATTATTGATATAAGGCAGCTTCCCTGACATGTAAGGGTGACACAGATTTTCTGAACAAACGAAATATGTTTTTTGGATGGTTTGAGGCCACAAACAACATTCCAGCAAGGAAGGCTGTTCCCCTTCCTGATGAGCAGGTGCTCAGATTTGATACAACTGCTGTTTGGAAGGTCATGTAGAAAGTCAATACTCAGAAAGCTGCAGGTCCTGATAATATCCTTGGGTGAGTAATTAAGTAGTGTCCTGAACAGCTGGCCACTGTTCTCACAGACATTTTCACTCTCTCTTTGCATCAGTCCATGGTTCCATCACATTTTAAGATTGCAATCATTGTAACAGTGCCCCCAAAAACTGTAATCACATGCCTTAATGATTACCATCCAGTTGCACTCACTTCCATTAGGATGAAGTGTTTTGAAAGGATTATATAGTTTTATGCCTTCCCCCTACATTTGACTCATTACAGTTTGCCTATCAGAAGAACCATTCTACAGATGATGCACTTTCCTGTGTGCTTCATCTTAGCTTGGTGCACCTGCAGGAAAAGAATACTCATGTGTGAATGCTGTTTGTTGATTTTAGTTTGGTGTTCACCACAATCATTCGTCACCATTTGGTGAACAAACTGAGCCTATTAGGTTTTAATACTCCTTTTTGTAGGGATAGGGGACGCAGTGGCTCAGTGGCTAAGATGCTGAGCTTGTCAATCACAAGGTCAGCAGTTCATAATCATAATCATAAGTTTATTTGTCAAGCATGTTGCTAGTTTGATTATTCTGGTTAGGCCCAATATAAGAGACTGTAGACTTTCTTGTGTCAATAATATTTATTTCTCATCTTCCTCAGGAACACTTTTGGACTGCAGGAAGTCTGACAGGAGTAAAGGCTTATATACAGAGGAGGCGGAGCAAATGGTAAGTAGTAACCAATGGCAAGGGACACAATGACATCACATAATGACATATATACAAGTACACATATTTACAGAGAGCAAGTTAGGTATTTTCAATTGTAACAAATCCCCCTCTAAACTACCTAACCAATGGTGGGTTATTAACATTATATATGTACATTAAGTTTAGAGGTCAAATATACATGTTGTTTGGTTGCTAATGGCTTAGTGAGGATGTCAGTGATTTGTTCATTAGTATCGCAATGAACAGCCTTAATGAACCCTATACTTGACAATTGCCTTACATGTTTATATTTGATATCGATATGTCGAGATCGTTGGCCTATTGCTTCGGAAGCTGATATATCTATTGCTGCTTTATTATCTTCATTGATAATAATTGGATAAATAGGTTCATCCCATACATTAGATAACAAATCATCGAACCAGGTTAAATTATTGACCGCTTTGGATAGACAAACGTACTCGGCTTCTGCTGTAGAAGTGGCAATTAAGTTTTGTTTGCCAGTGTACCAGGGCACCGTACAACCATTTATAAGAAAAACATATCCAGAGGTGCTTTTTCTGCTTTTTGAATCAGCAGCCCAGTCTGCATCGGCGTAGCAGGTCAACGTTGGTTTTTCAGAAATGAATGGTTCTAAGTATAGACATACATTAATGCTAGATTTCAGATATCTAAAAATTCTCTTAATTCCTTCCCAATGGTATAAGTTAGGATTGGTTACATGTCTTGACAACAAATTAACGGCAAGGGTGATATCAGGCCTAGTCCAATTAGATATGTATAATAAGGACCCAATAATTGATCGATATAAAGTGTTATCTTTGAATGGCTCGTGTTCATTGTGCACATTTCTATAAAAATCAGTTGACATGGGAGTTTCACAAATTTTTGAGTTAACCATATTGCACTTTTGTATGAGTTCTATAATTTTATCTTTCTGAGACAATTTGAAGCCCTTATCCATTTTATCAATTTGGACTCCTAAATATTTGTTTACCTTTCCTAATATTTTTAAATTGAAATGTTTGCCCAATTGTTTAGCAAAATCATCACATTTAATCTTATCTCATCCAAAATATAATATGTCATCAACATAAATCAAAACATATTCAATAGAATCATTATTTCTTTTTGTAAAAAAACAAAAATCAGATGAAGTAGCTATAAAACCCATATCATTCAGTATCTTTGATAAACATTCATACCACCGCTTGCCAGACTGTTTTAGTCCATAAAGACTCTTATTCAATAGCCAAATTTCTCCCTTTTTTGTATCCTTTCCTGGGGGGGCTTTTACATAAATTTCTTTATCAAGATCAGCGTGTAGATAAGCTGTCTGTACATCAAATTGATATACTTCTAGATTTAAGATGGAAGCTAATACCAATGCTGTTTTCACACTTTCTGATCTAACGGTTGGAGAGTATGTGTCCTCATAGTCATCTGGAAATCTTTGGGCAAAGCCTTGAGCCACTAACCTGGCTTTATATAGGAATTTACCATCCTCTAGCTCCTTGATTTTATAGATCCATTTAGTGCCAATGGGGGACTTCTCTGTGGGTAGATCTGTTAGTGAGTATACATTTAGTTCTTTCAAACTGTCCATCTCTTTTTTCATTGCTTCCTCCCACTTACTTTTTTCTTCTAGAGGTAACTTTAGTATGTCATCATATGTATTGGGAGTCAGGTGTTTAGCTTGGATAGACAGTACATAATCATCTAATCTTTTAGGGATTGTGCCTCTATTGGATCTAATGGGCCTATTCTGGGGATGTTCATCGCTATGCATATATTTAGTTTCTTTTTCTGTTAATTGGTCTACCTTCAGAGTGGGATGTCCTTTCTTCCATTCATCATTAATTACTTTTGGGTATTTGATTTTGCTCGTTGTTATACTTTTGGGGTTGGTATCTGATGTATAATGTTCTGTGTGTGTGTGTGTAGTGTTTTTTGATTCTGGATATATTTCGTTGAGATGTATTTTTGACCAGTTCATGTGTTCATGAAACACGGCAGATCTGGATACAATGAAATGGTTATTTTTATCAATGAAGCGATATCCCTTGATTCCTGATTTGTACCCCATAAATATTAGTCTTTTGGATACTTTCTCTCCTTTGCGCCTTAATTGTGTGGGGACATATACATCAGCAGTTACACCAAATACGTGTAAATGTCCAATTTTTGGTTTTCTTCCATACATGAGTTCGTATGGAGTTTTGTTGATTGTACTTGACCATAAGCGGTTTATAGTGTAATTGGAATAAGTAAGGGCGTCAGCCCAGAATGATTGGCTCAAGCCAGCATCGTCTAATACACATTTAACCATGGTTTGTAGCAGACCATTTTTCCTTTCAGATACTCCATTTTGAAAAGGGGAGAAGGGACAAGATTTAAAGTGCAATATTCCTTGTGATTTTAGCCAATTTGAAAATTCGTTGGATAAGAATTCCGACCCCCTGTCGGTCATTATTTGTTTAATTTTAATATTGAGTTGTGTTTCTACCATTTTAAAGAACTCCTTGAATTTTTTGAAAACTTCACTTTTGTGGTTAAGGGTGTATACAAAACCGAATCTACTGTAGTCATCGACTATGGTTAGAAAGTATCTTTTTCTATGTTTAATTGAAGGTTTCATTGGGCCTACTACATCCATATGGATTAATTGAAAAATTGATTGTGTGGTGCGAGTGGTTTTTTTGGGTCTAGGTTTATTTTTAAGTTTGGATGAATTGCACACTGAGCATTCCAAATAATTTTTACAGTTCTTTATTTTTAAATCTTCGGAACATTCTAACATCTTTCTTATGACAGGAAAACTTGCATGTCC